TATCTTAACTTCATAAATAGGGCGGAACTATGCTCTACGGATGAGAAAAACACCAAAATCTATCAGCTACCTGATCAAGTTTTTAAAGGCGATTACAAGATAGACAATTTTTAGGATGTTAATTCCATTTTGGTGAAAGGTGATCCACACACCTTAATTTTGTTTGTCCCTCTAGTGGCGAGGTTCACACTGATCGTTTCTATAGTGTAGAATAAGTGTTTTTTCTTTGGTCAAGCTCGGTATCCTTATTTTTCTCAGTGGATTGACCTCGTTTGCGCAACTTGGTCTTTTTGTCAAGACAACTTAGTAGAACGCACCTGGTCTGAAGTCGTCTGTCATAGTAGTTATCATGATTCCCAGCATGAGACAGTAAATTTTGTACATTCTCAAACGTTTCGCCCATCCTACGCTTCCATCCTGCATTGTCGCGATTCGACTCCCGCTGACGGTGTTGATAAGGCCGATGCGAGGTCGAAACTGCAGTCCACTCTGGATGAGAACAACTTTTTGGAAAGCAAGGCTATGTGAAATTCAATGAAAACGTCAGCTCAGATCGGATGAAACTTTAATTTATCTTAATAATAAGCGAAACACATTGTATGGAATGGACAAGAGATCAATTGGAGGGCAGCTCAAAGAAGGGCCTCATGCGATGAAAACACAAGGAAACGAAAAATAAGGAGGCCAATGACATCATAGGGGAAAAAATCTATTGAAAAGAAGATTGGAGGAAGGTAAAGTTAGTGATAACTTTGCCTAATGCTTAAACTCGGGCAAAACAAGAATAGATCAAAACCAGCAAAAATTAAACGCCTGAATCAAGGATTTATAGTTGACCAGAGGAAAAGGGATCATAAGTAAGCGGATTGGTAAGCTTGAAAAATAAAGCGAAAACGTTATCAGTGTGCTCGGCTCGAGGAAACAACTTCAAATTTGGGGGCCTTGAAGTCACACAATTACAACTGTTACGGAAATTCAGCCTTATGGCTAATTTGACTAGATCAACTCGAGATGCAGCAGGTGATTAAGGATAGGCGTCCTCAATTTGCGCAGAGTATACTTGTTTTATCAATGAGACAACCGTGAAGGCAATGCCTAATATCTGCAAGCATGTACACTAGGACTGCAACCGAGTGAAATCTGTCAACCAGTAAGATAAGAAACGGGTGTATGGGCAAATGAGAAAGATACGGATACTG